CCACCCACCATGGCAGGGGGGGGGGGGGTGGCCAGGCTGAGGCGTGCCTGCAAGGGGGAGTAGAGGGGGTTTTTAAAGGGATCTGAACGCCCTGAGGCTGGACAGCCTCGGCGAATTACCCCGGATGCCTGAGAATCACCTTGGAATACCAGGATTGGGAAGATTGAACCTCTAACCCATGACTACAAGCACCCTTGCCTTCTTGTTCTAATCATAATTCCTTGTCGCTCCACGTCTCCTGAGCCTAATACCACCTACTAGCATCACCATCACCAGCATGATGATTATGGTTAGTATTTGGGTCGTTCTTGGTGATATTGTTCTCTAACGGTCCACCCGAATAATCAGGTTTACGGCCCGAATACCCTTAAGATTATAGCATTTGGCCCCAACTCCCAACACCCTGTGATTTGGGTCCTTGGACCCTTAGGGATTGTTACCACTACAAACCCTGAAAACATGAGCTGCCAAACCCTAAACCCTATATAGGAGCTTGAGGCTCTCAGCTGGGAGTCTGTCTTCTGACCCTCTAATTAAACCCTCACCCTAGGGATCCAAATAGCCCAATGTAGGTAATATTTGCAGACTTCAGGGCCTAATGTAGGTATTATTTGTATACGTGGATCCTCAGGGTAAACCTAAAACCCAAATTGTTGTAACAAAAACACCCTGATCTTTTTAGGCCCAACATTAGCCGCAGGTGCAGAGCTTCCGCCCTCCTTGCCGCCTGGCTCCCAGTCCTTGCAATCTTGGGTGTGAGGTGTAGGGTTTTAGGGTTTTGACTGTGTTAGGGTTTGAGGGTTTGGGTTTTATTAGGGTTTAGAGTTGTTTGGGCTTAGGGTTTAGGGTTGAGAGTTTAGGGCTGAAGGTTTAAAGATGTCAGGGCGCAGGGTCAGGAGGATGAGGAACTTCAGGATTTAGGATTTCCTCCACGCGAAGCTGTCTTCCAGACTCCATGCAATTAACCTCGTGATTCGTGATCACACGCCGCAATTGTTTAGGCCATCCCTGTTCAGAAGCGCCTCGCAGCAGCAGCCTCAGCTATGCCTCAGCTATCAATTGCACATGCAGCCAGATGGACGATGAAGCCGCCGAGAAATGCCCGAAGAATGGTTTAGGGTTTAGGGTTTATCCTGCCCACATCTGGGGTACTAAGACTCCTAAGACCATGAGATTTAAACAGTGGCTATGATCTCGGCACGCACCAGAAAGCAACACAGTACAAATGGTAATTTCCCAAAATGAGGAGACCCCAATATAGACCCCCAAAATACTATAGTCCTTGTTATAGGGACCCCCGAAAAGGTACCCCTAATTTTGGGAAACCACCAAATCTCTTTGCAACCCCGAGATTGGCGGCTGTCACCTGGGCAGTCACGCCAGATGAGCGAGAAGGATTCTTGGATGGGTTTAGGGTTTAGGGTTTAGGGTTGGATGGGTGAAGGTGCAAGTGCAAAGGGTTTCAGGATTTAGGATATAGTCCCCCTTGTGTAGATAGAACATGGGGTATGTGGGGATTTTATTTTAGTAGACCGAAAGCCTTATTCTATCTACTTAAGGGGGACTATAGGTTATACATTGGTTGATCGTACAGTTGGTGACAGAAGTCTTGTAAGTACGGCCGGAAGCAAGGAGTAATTGTTTCAGCAGCTTCAAGAAATCCAAGAGATGTCCTGCATGTACTGGGGTTTAGGGTTTAGGGTTACTGCCGCAATGAGTGTGTGCCTAGAAGCTATTCCCTAAGGATTCAAGGAGCCAAATCAGAGGGATTTGGGGCCAAAATACTATAAAGTTAATGGAATTCGGGCCCTAAAGCACTATTGTTTGGGTCCTTGGACCTTTAGGGATTCTCTACTTTCAAAAAACAATCCACCTACCGAAGGAGACTGCTCTCCCGTGAATATGCCTTAGAGGGCTACAATGAGAAACTGAGAGGGCTCAATGATGGATTTGGGAGCGGACAAATTCCGATTTCCGAGTCATGATGAAGCATGTTGAGCTTTCGCCATGAAACATTTCTGCAAGCAGTTTGGATGGTTTCTTCTGAAGAATCGCAGTTATATTGTCGTCGCCGCAGCCACCGCCGCAGCTGTAGCTGTAGCTGCAGCTACCGCAGCCGCAGCTACCGCAGCAGCAGCAGCAGCAGCAGCAGCAGCAGCAGCAGCAGCAGCAATCTTGGCAGGAACAACACTTGCGGATGCTGGCGGTGCAGCGGCGCTGGTGGTGGATTTGTTCCTGGATACAGGGGTTTCCTTAAATTAGGGGTACCATTTTGGGGTCCTTATAAGAAGGACTATAGTATTCTGGGGTCTATATCGGGGTCCCCTTATTTTGGGAAACTACCATACAATGATTTGGGGAAGGCATCCAGAAGCTCTTCGCATCCGCTGCCCAAGACGGGTTCCTTCCTGCAGCCGAAGCTTGGGTCCTAGCACTTCTATAGGGCAGGAGAAGAGCAGTACCTGAACCCCAAAAGTATGTAAAATAATGACCTTTATGCCTTTTATTATGGGTTTAGGGCTATTATTTTACATACTTTTGGAGTTTAGGTAAAGTCCTTGGGTCAGTTGGAGCAGTTTTAGGGTTCAGGGTTTAGAGAAATAAGGTTCAGGGATTTGGAGTTTCGGGTTTAGGGGTATTACTCGCAAAAACAGAGAATCAAATGGAACGGGAATGGAGAAATTTTATCGAAACAGCAGGGATGTGTACTGTAGGGTCATTTTTGGGACTGTGACATTTGTGAGCTTCAGGCTTTAGGCTTTCTTAAGGTGAGGGAACCCTACCGACCTAAGGGATATGGTGGGATGATGAGGGGGATTGGGTGTTCCAATTTGGGGATTAGGTACAGGATATGTCGATGTAAGTAGTACCTGAGTAGCGCGTTGAAGTAGATGGGTATATTGTGGTTGTCCTTTGCAGTATGCCGTAAAGCAGAACACAAGCCCATGGTCCCCCTTAATTAGGTAGAATATGGGGTATACGGGTATCTCATTATGATGTTGGGGACTTCCATATTGTATCTTCTTAAGGGGATGTCTAATGTTTCGTTCAACAACTACGCAGGGGTCTGCAAGGGGCTCTGCCATTCCCTTGCCTTCAGAGCCCATGCCCCTTAGCCGCCCTAAACCCTACCTGAACCCCAAAAGTAGGTAAACTAATAGCCCGGTCACCCTGAAAGTAGCCCAAAAGGCAATTATTCTACATACTCTTGGGGCTCAGGTAGTCAAAATTGTCAGCACTCGGATCATGTCTGGGGTGGACACGACTTTAGTGGAAGGCGCTGAAAGCCCCGGCAAACACTAGGGGAGACAAAAACGATATGCTTGAAGAAGCCCACCATGCTTTTTTACATGTGCCAAGTAGACACTCAATTGAAAAAGCGGGGAAACAAGCTGAACAACGACAGGGGAGGCAAAACAAAACCATAACCCCAGTCAACTCTCCATTAGCGAGGTAAGGACCTCCAAGCGTAGCTCATATACCTGGGTTCTGCTTAGCCCAAAGAATAGGGTTTTAGGGCCCAAATACCATTAATGTTATAGTATTTGGGCTCTAAAACCCGATTATTTGGGTCCTTGAACCCGTAGATAGTCCCCATATATCCCCCTATAACCCCTTTAAAGGGGACCTGTTATCTGGGTCCTTGGACCCTTAGTCTTTGTAATCTGTGAGGTTCGATTCTTAAGCAGTTTCAGGCTCAGGTTGGGGCAGTGCACAACATAAAGGATTACAATAGTACCCCCCCCCCAGATTTAGAACCCTATTAAGCGCTATATAGTCCTTATTAGCTCCTTAAACCCTGGGGGGGGGGGGGTACCTTGCGGGGGGGTACTATTGTAATCCCTTACAACATATGGTAAACCACCTGCTTGGAGCACAAAGCTGGGGGGAGATGGTTTGGAGCCCACCATCCTTTAGTAATTCTTTAGTATCATGGTGCTGCCATGTGAGCTATAGTCTAAACTCCTAGTATCCCCCTTAATAGCCCCTATAGTAGACCCATATATAATCCCCTATATAATCCCCTTCAAGGAGTTTAGACTATAGCCCATGTGGTACCAAGGCTGGGCAGATTCTGGAGAGGCCCGCTGACTTTTCAATGAAGTACAGAATAGGCAAGGATAGTAGAGGGGTGAGGTGGTGTGGTGTGGTGCTGCTTGCGTTGTTTGAGCATGTGCAAACCGGCGACAGGTCCCAGCTCCCACATTCAGAGCTCTCACAGATATGGAACCTCTCCGACGCTCAGCTGCAAATGCTACCGTGCCCGAATCAGCAACTAGGCAATCCCCCAACAGGCAGTACTCCGCATTTCCGTATTGCGGATCTCCTTTATGTCATGTGAGCCAGGATCTGAACTCCTTAAAGGAGGGTTATATATGTAGGGATCATGTAGGGGACTTCTGAAGGGGTTACTACTGAAAGGGGGATACTAGGAGTTTAGACCATAGCTCATAATCGAACCTGTGCACAGAGCTGCTGAGGACGTGGACGGAGACGGGTGCCTCCGTTTTGGGGAGTTTCTGTGCGCCATGACCTTGGCGGAGAGGCGCCCAGAATTTATTTTTCAAGGGGTGATACGGAATGACATAGGTCCCGTTTTGTGTATGCATGTAATTAGGCGTTACACCGCTATCTTCAAGAGTTTGAACCCTAGTGGGCCTTGCTAAGCCTGCTTCTAAGCTCCTGAAACCCCGGGAGGTACCTGGGTGGCGTTATAATCCCTTACATGTGCTATTTGTTCCCATATGGGGGCTGAGTAGGTGTGTTCATGTTGGCCATAGGGACATGATATGATGGGCATGCTTTTCAGTTTACCCTGTGCTTCTCGAGATAGCGAAGATGTAGCTACGATTTCTGGTTTCATCCTAAGTAACGCAAACATCAAAACTCCTGACATGGAGGCTATAGAGAGAGATATATATTTATGTATAAGGATTATGTAGGGAGTACTGTTGGGGTTGTTAAGGGGGATACTAGGAGTTTAGACTATAGCTCACGTAACTGTAGAATTTGAAGGCCGCTTCTCCGGAACCTTTACATACTACTAATGCCCACGATTGGCCCCCCCCATAATTGTCTATATGCTCGTACAGCATCATCGGAACATGTCCACACATGCTAATGTCCCGTGGAAAACCATCTCTATGTCTCATTCGAAACGCGAACTCGCTGCAGTTCCATGAACCCCAAATTCTAAACCTGAGCCATAGCACACAAGGGCGAATGAACTCCGACCTCTGGTCTCCTGCAGCCCGAATCCTTACCCCTTCCTGTTGCTGGACAAACTCCTGCATGACTGTGCATACCCAAGCCCTGCGCATATTCAGAGACATGCAGGATTTCGTTCTTCCACCAGTAGTTCAGGTAGCTGCCTGGTTATATAGAGGGTGTGTAAGGACTATATATAGGTTATATATCCTATATATACCTCTCTCTATATATATATATATACAGGTTATATAAGCTAAGGGGACTAGGAGTCCCATCTAGAGGTCGCGCCTAAGGGTCGTTGACCAGCTAGAATAAGCCCTGGACGAAGAAACCCTTGGATTCCCTTGCAACTTCCTTGTCAGGGTGTTCCTTGGAGGTGTGTTCTGTCTGGGGGTCGGCTAGAAATCTAGGCTAATACTACTGTTGATGGATGAAATCTTGCACCACCTTGGGGCCCTAAACTACTGTGATTCCTAGGAATTTAGGGACTTAAGGTGGTGCAAGATTTCCTCCATCAACAGTATTGACACTTGGCGTACTTCAGCACCATAATTCCCAAGGTGCATGGTACGTAGGATCATGGAAGATTTTTTGGAGGTACGATGATCAGGGGGACTTTTAGTATCCACCTTGAGAGCTGTCCCTACTAGCTGCTAGCTACCCTGCTGACCTAAACTCTTAATTCAATGAATGTATATATATATATATATATAAGCTCACCCCCCCCCCCAAGAACTACCTTT